ATATAAATCGGATGGCCGCACCGCAGCCCCCTATGCGGTCCAAGCATAACGCGGTAACGTGCGCGTGCTTTGACTTGTATCATTTTTTGAACTCTGCAATTTTCGCGTTGATTTATACGTATCCTTCCGACCTTCTCAGTACGTGCATTGACAACAAACGGAGGAAACTGGAATTTGGATATTATTGAAGGTTTGACATCCTTATAAAAACTACAATAGTACAAACTAAGCAAAGCAATTATGATATCGAATATGGGTAAATCTTCTTTAGTGACCAGATGCAACAACATGTTGACTTAATATGAAGAGAATCATGCACAACCCAAAAAATGACTAAAATTCCCTGAGATTTAATCATTTGATTTTCGAGGATGGGAAAATATGATTCCCATAGTATAAACATCTGGACTTTGTTGGTGTTTTGGGTTGTTTATTTTTCTGATGTTTACATTACAACTAAACTAATTGACTAATTAATTAGTTAAACAAGCAAAGCAGGCAGCGGTGCACATGTTACAACCAAAAGTCCAAGTTTCTTTGACAAGCTAGATCTGACTTAATGGCACCCGCACAACACCACAGAGGAGAGGGCTAATGAGTAATAAACCAGTCTTAGTTATAACCCAAAAAGAGAAACCGAAACTTCTCCGCAAGTGGTGCTCAAGGTTAGAAGACAAGTACATCTGCCATCTGGCTGTAACCTGGTTGTCACTTTAAAATTCTTGATCGATTCGGTAACCAGACAACCCAAGATTGATGATGCATGTCAATACCTGCTTGTTCCTCATAATTATTTGAACGGATCAAGATTTGGATGCCCATTTACTTTGACTAGGCTTAATTTACTGAACCTGATCATTAGCTAATTAAGAAATATATTATTATGAAGCTGGCCCTGGACCTTCCAATTCTTACCACAGAGCACTACTTTAAAAAAAGAATTTATATTTCTTCTCCTGCTTCATTAGTTGTTCACAGCAGCACAGGAGAATGAGTTCATACTCTCACTCATCTCTCTTTCTCTCTCAATAAAACCCTGCTTGCCTTTACATTCCAAACCTTCAAAGATCCCAGATTTCAGTGGAAAGTGCGTCAAAGTTTACTACTTTCATGGGTTCTCTGTGTTGTTTTCTCTTCTAATATGCTGTACAAGTCTCATATCTAATACCCTGATCACGCTTTAGCATTTGCTTCCTCTGTTTCCTGTGGAATTGAATTTCCAAGAAATGGCTCCAAACTCGGTCGTAGTTACAATTGAGAAGCCTGACAGCTCTGCACTAAAGGTTAATGGCTTGGATTCATCTGTGTTTCTTGAGAAACAAAAGGCAGTGAGCACCAAGCAATTCACATGGGTTCTTCTTCTCAAAGTTAATAGAATATTTGCTTGCCTTTCATGGCTGCCAATGGCATTCAGGGCCATGTTTGTTTCACTTAGAAAACGCATTGCCTTATCTGACATGAGTGATGAAGAGCCCAAAAGCAGAGGAAGGTTGTATAAATTCATCAAAGCTTTTCTTGGTTTGTCAATTGTAGCTCTGGTCATTGAAGTCATCGCCCATTTCAAAAACTGGAATTTGAATCTGATTCAGCCTTGGGAGGTTCAGGGTTTGGTGCAGTGGTCCTATATGACCTGGTCAGCGTTCAGGGTTGACTATATTGCTCCTGTGGCTATAATTCTCTCTAAATTCTGCATTGTACTTTTTCTGATTCAATCTCTTGATCGACTGGTTCTGTGTCTTGGATGTTTCTGGATCAAATACAAGAAGATAAAGCCCACAGTAGCAGCAGATGCTTATGACATTGAAGATCCTTCTACTTTCCCAATGGTCCTTCTACAGATCCCCATGTGCAATGAGCGAGAGGTAACAGAGCAAACTAGCTCCCTAAATTTACCTCTTCTTTTCACTCTCTTTCTCTGTCTGTTGCCAATTGACTTTTGCTTATCCCCACATTTACCTTTCTGGGGATTGCTTTAAATTTTCTTAACTTCATGGGGTTCTGTTGTAATATTACCTTCTTATCATGTAGGTGTACGAGCAAGCAATTGAATCTGCTTGTCAGATGGATTGGCCAAGAGACAGACTTTTAATTCAAATTTTAGATGACTCGGATGATAGGAATTTGCAGCTTTTAATCAAAGACGAAGTCTCAACATGGAACCAGAAAGGTGTCAACATAATCTACAGACATCGGTTGATCAGAACTGGTTACAAAGCAGGCAACCTTAAATCAGCCATGGGTTGTGATTATGTCAAAGACTATGAGTTTGTGGCAATATTTGATGCTGATTTCCAGCCCAACCCTGATTTCCTTAAGCTGACCATTCCTCATTTCAAGGTGATTATTATATATACAGTACTCAATCAAAGATGCGAGCTTTCTTAATTAATCGTTGTAATGACTTGAGACTAACGATCCTGCGGTTCGTCACAGGGAAATCCTGAATTGGGACTTGTCCAGGCTCGCTGGTCCTTTGTGAACAAGGATGAGAACTTACTTACAAGGCTCCAAAACATCAATTTGTGCTTCCATTTTGAAGTGGAACAGCAAGTCAATGGTGTCTTCCTCAATTTCTTCGGATTTAATGGAACTGCAGGAGTTTGGAGAATTAAGGCTTTGGAAGAATCAGGAGGCTGGCTAGAGAGAACAACAGTTGAGGATATGGACATTGCCGTTCGAGCACACTTGAATGGATGGAAATTTATCTTCCTTAATGATGTCAGAGTCCTTTGTGAATTACCAGAGTCTTATGAAACTTACAAGAAGCAACAGCACCGCTGGCATTCGGGTCCTATGCAGCTCTTCAGATTGTGTCTTCCTGCTATCTTAACTTCCAAGGTTTTCCCTTCATTAACGAACTTTCTTTGATTATTTCTAAAATTGTTACATTATAAGTTTGTATGTTGTTTTTTTTAACTTTTTGAAATTAAATTTGTGCAGATATCAATGTGGAAGAAGAGCAACTTGATATTTCTTTTCTTTCTTTTGAGGAAGCTGATTCTTCCCTTTTACTCATTCACATTGTTCTGTATCATACTTCCATTGACCATGTTCTTGCCTGAGGCTGAACTGCCTCTTTGGGTAATTTGTTATATCCCCATTTTCATGTCGTTTCTAAACATTCTTCCATCCCCAAAATCTTTCCCTTTCTTGGTTCCATACCTACTGTTCGAGAACACAATGTCTGTCACAAAGTTCAATGCCATGGTTTCTGGGCTATTTCAGCTGGGAAGTTCTTATGAGTGGGTGGTGACAAAGAAGACTGGAAGATCATCTGAATCAGATTTGTTAGCCCTTGCTGAGAGGGAATCACTGTCTTCAAATGAAGAGAAGATACTAAGGAGGAATTCTGAGTCTGGTTTGGAATTGTTAAGTAAACTCAAGGAACAAGAAGTAGCTCCCATCCCCAAGAAGAAGAAGAAAAATGGGATCTACAGGAAAGAGCTTGCGCTTGCTTTTCTGCTACTCACTGCATCAGCCAGAAGCTTCTTATCAGCACATGGAGTTCACTTCTATTTCTTGCTTTTCCAAGGGCTGTCATTTCTTGCTGTAGGGTTGGACTTGATAGGTGAGCAGATGGGCTAAAACCCTAAAACAAAACAAAAGTGCAATTTCCCCATAGTTATTTTTGACAGCTATGTTGAACCTTAAGGACAGATTTGCAGCTCTTGGTGTTCAAAGTTGAATTCATTTTCATGTAGAAACATTTCCCATTTGTTAGAAAGAAGGTCATGGGTAAGATATAAGAATTGAGTTAATTGTACAATGGTATATGTCTTCAGTGTATGAAGTAATGACAATCAGTATAAACAACTCAGCTATTTTTTCATTGTTTTTTTTTTCTTTTCTAATATGATGCTTCCTTCTCAATCTATCTCAAGCAGCACGTCATATATGAACTCAGTACCATTATTAGCCTTTCACCAAAGGTAAAAACTAAAAAGACATACAAAACCCACATCAACACAACCAAGAAACAGAACAAACCAAACTTGTACTATAGATCACTCAAAACTTGAAAGAGACTTAATTTGTTACATGAACCCCGGCACGGCACACTGGGATCGGATTTCATCAAACTTTTGTTGCTTAAATTATAAGCTGCCAGTGAAGATGTTCATTCTGCAATGATTATATGTCATCAGCGTATAATATTGAGGATCCCATCCCAGTAAAGAAAATTCTTGAACTTTTACGTTCCTCTATGTAACTACTGTGAATGGAACAATACCAAACAGTCAAATGACAGAAGTGTAGCATATGGTTTCTCAATCGTGTATTAGCTGTTAGATGTAGACAGAAGTGTAGGAAGGCACAAGCAATCAAGGCGAAAACAAAGGATGCTTTTGTCATACAGATGGAATCTGATTTAGGAAGATTAAGGCTATCATATGCAGACATGTTACATGTCTCTATCTAAATGAATGAGAGCATTTAACATGTTCAGAATTACCGAAAAAACCAACTAGTTTTTTGTTTCGTGGTGGTAGTTTTTTTATATTTGGTTGAAAAATCTCAAGATCGACTCACATGAATATGGGGATTATATATATTTATGATAGTTCAATATTTAGTTGTGGCTAACCCCATTCCAGCGTCGAATAACTTTGTTGCACGGACATTGGTGGTTGAAAATTATATTTGTAAGTTAGTCAAAATAAAATTACTAAGTAAAAAAAAAAAAGAGGATAAATAGAATGATTGGGCCCTAAGAGTCAGGCCTAGGTCCTTAGCCACAGCACTCGGGCTGTGACTCGTTTTGTGTGTGCCAAACGGGCTGGTTCATGGGTTAAGGTTATGGTTGGCGGGCTAAATGCCAACATATTGTAATAAAAACACATTCTCTGCGATTCCATCAGTCGACCTAATGCCAAGTGGAAAGGGCCATTGATGGCAACGTGTAGCATTTGAGTAAATTCACTGTAGTCACTGACCACTGGGCACTCACTTGACCTGACGTTTCTCTCATTCGAATTTCAAAATTCAACAGCTACAAGGTAGGATCTTCAAGCCCCACAGTCACTATTTATCCTTTTAAATACTAGGGTTTCATTGTCGTCATTGGTAGAAACTAAATTCGGTTAACTTTTACATTTTGGCTTTCCTTTTATATTTGCTGTGCTGGGTCTTGAAAGTTAGACACAGAAGCTTCAATGGCGGAAGAAGAGGGTGATGCTTTTTATGTGGTTCGGAAGGGGGATATCATTGGCGTATATAAAAACTTAAGGGATTGCCAAAACCAAGCCGGTTCTTCGGTAAATTTTTACCACCTTATTATCTATGTTATAACATTTGAGCATGATTCTCCTCTGGTTTTGGCCCATTCTTGATCAATCTTTGGAGCACCAAGCTTAATTTTCTATTGGGTTTTCTTGATTGTGTTAGAATAACCGTTCCCTTTGTTGTTCTTTTATCATTTTTCTCATGGACAACGTTAATACTGAAACTTAAGACTAATTTCCTATATGCAACTGAAATTTCTTCCTACATTGATTGGTTGTGGTGTACATTCTGAAAAAAGTTTGTGCTTTCTGGTGGTAGGGTACCTTCCCTAATTGCGAGTCTCTAATTGTAGCTTTCGTGTCCACAAATGTTAGATTAAAATTAGCTTCCATTAGGTTGTATATGTGCCCATCTGTTGCTAACTCATTGGTAACGAGGGGTTTTTTGCTTCTATTTTCTTGCTACTGGAAAATGCTTCAGAATATTTATGAGGTTTGTTTTCTTTTTAGGTATGCAATCCTTCTATAAGTGTGTTCAAAGGCCACGGTTTGCCTAAGGAGGCTGAGGAGTACCTTGTCTCGCATGGGCTTAAGAATGCTTCTTATACTATCTGTGCCAATGATGTGAAAGATGATCTTTTTGGAATACTTGCTGCTTGCCCTTACCAGGTTTGATGATGTCCTGTTTTAAAAAGGCTCTTTGGGTTGTTCTGTTCTTCTCCATGGCGTGTGGCATGAAAGTAGTTTTTGTATCATAGACGATCTTATATTTAGTTACTGATTGTCTAATTGTGCATATTTATAAACTTTCAGCAGCCCGATTCTTCTATAGTAGAATCAGCTGTCAATGACTCAGCACCAAATAGATTGCAGGAGATGGTTGGGTCTACTTCATTCCCAACCACTCAGAGAAGGCATTTCAAATCTGATGATCATATTGAAACTCTATCTGTTTCTTATAGTGGTGTAAGTTTCTATTTCTCACAACCACTGATATATAACATGCATAATATATTTGATTACTGATTGCCTAATTGTGTATGTTCATAAATTCCGGCAGCCAGATTGTTCTACAGTAGAATCAGCTGTCAAGGACTACTCACCACCAAAGAGATTGCAGGATATGGTTGGGACTAGTTCAATCCCTACCTCTCAGAGAAAGCATTTCAAATCTGATAATCCTATTGAAACTCTAGCAGTTTCTTCAAGTGGTGTAAGTTTCTAGTTCTCACAACCACTGATATATTATGTTATGTCGATCTATCCGTCTAATCTCATTGTTATGGGTGTGTGAAGTAAAGTTACCTATTTATGCCTGATCTATGTCTTTTTCCAGCATTCCTGTATACTTGAGTTTGATGGTGCTTCAAAAGGAAATCCTGGACAATCTGGTGCAGGAGCTGTGCTACGAGCTGAAGATGGAAGCGCTGTATGCAGTTCATTGAGATAATTGTGGTTCTTTTAGGGCTTATTTTCTTGTCAAATGTAGCTGTTAACCGTTCATTTATAACATGGGATTTTATAGGTCTACCGGTTACGTGAAGGGGTGGGCATTGCAACAAATAACGTTGCTGAATATCGAGCTGTAATTTTGGGATTGAAATATGCTCTTGAAAAAGGATATAAACACATTCGCGTTAAAGGAGACTCTAAACTTGTCTGCATGCAGGTTTGTATATGTTACAGCACTTGAGTTTTTGTAGTCTTTCCCTTTCCCTCCCTTTTGTTACCTGTATCCTTGAAAATTCATTTCATATTTTATTTGTTTATTAAGTCCTACGAGCTCTTTGATATAACAGATTCAGGGTCTCTGGAAAACCAAAAATCAGAATATGGCTGAGCTGTGCCAAGTGGCCAGGGAGCTCAAGGAAAAGTTTATGTCATTTGATATCAATCATGTTCTTAGGGTATGTACAGTTGTGTGCTGGAAGAAATTTTTGTATGTAATACTTGTATAATAAATCTTCAAGACTCCAAGAACTTAATATGATGAGAGCATGGGAATGGATCAAAAATTGAACTCTGTTTGATTCTGTTAATTGGACAATGGTAATTTGATCAAAATCTGCTATTGCTGCAGGATTACAATTCTGACGCTGATGTTCAAGCAAACCGAGCAATAAATCTTCAAGGTCAGTGGCTTCCAGCTCTGTTGAATTCTTGTGATTTTCATAGTCTATACTTGGTTTTCCATTTATGAGAACTGCTTGGATCTTATGCTTGAACAGATGGACAAGTTGAAGTGGATTGGAACGGGAAGTAAGTTCAAATGATGGAAAGGGAGACATTGTTTTGTAGGCTGAGAGAATTGGAACCAGGACTTGATTAAACATATGCTTTCAGATTCTGTTGGTTAAGATGTATTGAAACGCACTGCTTTGGAACTTCTGATGGAGCAAGAGCTCCTTAATATGCACATCCCAATTCCTAATTTCAACTCTGGTCTGTGTTAAATTCTCAGTGATCATTTTGAAACCCAAACTTTGTAATTTCCAGCTGTTAAAATTGGTTTAGAGAATCTTCATTCAAACTAAGTTGCTTGTTAATTTACACATGTAATAATGGTTGATGAGAAGAAGAAAATCAAATGGACGGCTCTGATTAATTTCAAAACTTGAAAGACAAACGTGGCTCTGTAAATGGATAGGGAGCCGAAGGCCCAAAAGGCCCAATTTAATGTGCTTTGCATAATCTCTCACAGACTACACTCGTTCTTCTCAGACCAGTGGCTGGATATTGCTTTGGTTAGAGAACAGAGAAGTCAGATTAAAAGATAAAACTCACCCAAAACAAATGGCTACGGTTTCAGTCTCAGCATTCTCACCTCTGGCCTCGCTCCGTACACCCAATCATTCCCATTCCCTTGCAATTCCCATTTCTTCTCCAACCCTTTCGTTCCGAAACGTTTCCACCTCTTTCCAGCGTTTAACGCACAAGGACCAGAGGTCCCGTATACCCACAATTATAAGGGCAGTCGAAGAGGAAACCCTAATTCCGGTTGAAGAAGAAGAGCAAAAACAAGAAGAATCAGCCAGCAGCGAGCAACAGGAACAGCCCGTTTCGGTCCCCGTTTCGCCCTCCGACACTCTAACCATGCTCTTTCAGGTACCCAGCTACCAATTTTGCCCAAGTTTGCAACTTTGTGTTTAAATTCCGTATATTTACGTTTTCTGGAGTCCATGTTATTCATGCGCTGCAAATTTCCATGAAATTGTTGTTCTTTTTTTCTTTCTGAAGTTTAGCAATTTATGCATATGCTTCTTTGTTTTCTGATTATGAGGAAATTTGTTAATGACAAGTTTTTAGCTTTAGTATTAAATGTGACATTTCTTTTGCATAATATTTCAAGGCAGATGGAACAATGAGTGACGCCGCTATCCCTTCAGTAACCAAAGCCTTAGAGGTACATTTTCATTTTCAGATATGTGGATGTTGAAATTGTGAATCAATGTTGGATTGGTGTTCATAATTTGTTACTCATTCATGCATTCTGTCACAGGAAACTCAAGGTATTACCAACTTAAAAGTTGAAGTTGTTGAGGGTATTGCAACTGTTGAGGTGCGTATAAAAGAAACTTTCTTAACTGGGTAGTAACAAATAGCAAAATATAAGTAATCCATTATAAGTAGAGTTTATCAGCTGCTGAATGCTTAATCTTACTCAATTTGCCACCTACTTTGCTCTGTTCACAACTTATGTTTTTGGATGTTGCTTGATTTTACTTATTTTCCTAAGTGCCTTGATCGCATCTTATCGCTTTTGGGTGTTTTTGATTCTGTGAGATACATTTAGGTTGTAATGAGAAGCATTTTTTGTTTGTTTTTCCAGTTGACAAAACAGACAACAGTACAAGCTACTGGGGTGGCTTCCAGTTTGGTTGAGACCATACAGAGTTCAGGATTTAAGCTACAAACATTGAATTTGAGCTTTGACGAAGAAGAGGAAGTTGCTGTATAGAGCTTGTGTGCTGGTCTAGGATAAACGAAAGTGGAGAGGAAAAAGGCTGAGAAATATAATGTTGAAGCTCTGTTTCCTTGGATTCATCATTCATGGTTTGTATTTTGTAGTTAGATAGGCTGCCTCTACCATGTTTTGGTGAAGTTGAACTTTAGACAGACATAGTGGATAAACGATTTTACTGTCCTCGTTGAGATGGTTTTTGTGAGGTGGTTGTACTTCTACTATGTAAATTTGCATGATGCTATTTCTGTTAAAAGAAACATTCTGTTTTATACCTACTCATCTTAGCAGCACCATGACTTCTTAGTTCCATTAGGTCAAGCTTAGATAGGTTATTTTAACTCCAGTTCCGGCCCATGTATATGACCTGGTTAGGTTTTTCTAATTAGATCACGCAGCCTGGCCAGATATTGCTGGCCTAGGCCCACCCGTTATAAAAAAATATACACAAGTGTCTTAACCTTTGGCAGCGAAATTCTATTGTAAGGGTGCCATATATGGACTTTTCATGTGAATCCTAATATTAGTCACATGATCATTTTATTAAGAATAATACTTTCCTCCTTGCTTGTATTATAAAGAGGAACTCCTCCTTATCTATTGATGTGATGCAGCTCAGTCGCCAATCTGATACATGTCTCTCATATAATGAATCATGTGACTAATACAAATGTTCGCATCTATAATACATCACCATAAAACGACTCACTTTAAGGTGAGATATAAGAGCATGTCCAGCCTTCAACCAAGACTGGGCAAAAGGCCCCCCAAGGCAGCCCAAGAGAGCTCCAGCGGGAGAGAAATGGCCCGGGCAAATGGTGGGTCCCATCAAACTGGGCAAGCCCACGGGCAGATCTTGCCTGGGCTGCAGCCCGAAGGCGCTGACGTCAGCGAGTAAAAAAAATTCAAAAAAATCCAAAAAATTTTCAATTTTTTTTAAAAAAAATACCAAAAAATTATAGATATTTTCCCTATAAATACATAACAATTTTATTCACTTTCTAAATTGTTTATATTTTGTTGCATAATCTTTTTTTTTTCTTGCCCTTGCCCTAGCCTTTTAAGGGTGGAACCAACTAAGGCAAGACTGACACTATTCATGTGAATAGTGGCAGCCCTTGCCTTGCCTTAACCTTGCCTTAGCCTTCATGGGTGGAACATGCTCTAAGACACTTGTGTATATATTTTTAATTTTAATACAAGCAAAATTTGTCTAAATTCATCCATGAAGAGAGAGATTTGAATTTAGTTGTAAGGAGGCAGACTCAGATCTGACCGACTGATGTACGCTGCGTGTAGATATTGACATGGTTAGCTAAGTTTAGTGTGTGAAAAGAAAGTAACCACATGGACGACTTGCTGTTATCCACTTCTTTCTGACCCATACAATTTTTTTCTTTTGGTCTGACTTCTGACCCATATAATAAGCATGGAGAAAGAGAGCCTGGAAGCATAAGCAGGCTTTACTGAGATGAGTCTGATAGATAATAGCCCAATGACCTAAAATATGATCCGTACATATTTGTATGTTTCTGTTTATAGATAGATGGGGCCTAAAGCCTTGTCTGTGCAGCAGCAGAGTTATCATATCATTGCCCCAATGGCTCCGAGACGTGATGGGTCTTTTGGCGTTTCTCCATGGAATGGCGAAGCGAAGAGGTAGGTGAGAAGCAAGCTACCAATGTGTTTCTGATTCTGAAATCTGAATGGTTGAATGAATTTGCTTACATAAAATCCAACGGCAGAGGATTAACAGCAATCTACCCACTCTGTCAATAATGATTTTTGGGAAGTGTGATATAAAGTTATCCCCTTTACCAAATGAAAAAGGAAAAGTAAATTGTCCCTACTGAATTTAACTGGGGGCATGTCTCACTTTAACTGTACTCAAATTCGAATCGGACTGGATTCTAGTGTTTTTGTTCGAACCAAGGGGCCTTTGCTTAACTTGTGCCAGTTCATATATGCACCTACGTCAAAACCCAATTTCGATAAATTTGTATGTATATATATATTATCGGCAATTTGGGTAGCGCATATCACACTATTATTGATAGAAATGTAGAGATTCTTACTTACATAATAAGGAGGGAAGTATTGACAGTAGCACATATAATAAGATTAAGATGAGCTGAGGGCCCTAGCTGAAAGGAAAGCCTGGAAACTGTGATTTTAATAGGATCTTTCTCTGACATATCCATACCAAACACGTTACTGTGAAATCATATTGTTGCTGTCAAGTTTAGTTTTGGAGTGTTGAAAATTTGTTAATGCCTTGCAAATTACTTAATATTCATATATTTGTTGTTCTGAAATGAAACGCCTGGTAGAAAGTAACAAATATATGGATCATTTAGGGTTAGGTCCATCTAGGCATATACTGATACTGCAGACATGTCATTGATATCACATGCATGCAGCAGCTTCCTATGTTTGACTAATAAGAATATGAGAAACAGAACCAGCAGTGTAAGTTCTTACGGAACCAGAACCAGTTGTAATCTAGCTTTGCTCAATCAATTGTACTGTCATAGATATGTCAATTACATCGTCGGATCCTTCACAGGAACCAGCTGTACATTACAATATGAGTATTAATGTCAATACAAATAAACCCCAGTGATCCCAAAACAATGCTGGTATAAGAAAAAGGGATCAAACAGATAGGGAAGCAATTAATGAAATTTAGGAGAGGAAACGTAGCTTCGGCTACAAGTTAATATTTTATGAGACAGACCTCGTGTGGAGGAAATTAATTTATTGTGAGGGGGTGGGGGTGACAGTGACACAGAGTCTGATGAGATGAGTGAGAAAGAGTGAAATAGATAGATATAAGATAATAATAGTTTAGCGGACAGGTCTCATAGGGGCAGGTGGGTCGAAGTCTCAAGACAGATTTTTGGACATCAAGCCATAACTTATGCCTCACTGATCTGCTCATTTCATCAAAGCAGCTGGCATGCATATCACCAGCTTGTAGAAATATCTCTTTTTGTCCCTTTTTCCAACACTATTTATACCACATCCCTGCTTCTGCTACAAATCATCTCAGTCTTTTCCTTCGTAGGCTTGACATTTCCAGCTGTTCTACAATGGCTGCTTCCAAAGCCGTTCTCCTTCTACTTGCTGCTCTTCTCTTTGTTACTACAAGGGTAATTATTATTTCCATCCCAATTTATTAGCATTTTTTGTTGTTTAGTTTCCCATATCTTGGATGTGTCTAAATTGGTTTGAAATCCTTCATTTTTTAGGCTTTTTCTTCATCACTTGAGCACCATGAAGAACTGAAGTTAAAGGTACTATTTCTTTTACTTAAAACAGTGTGGTAAAGTTGACTTTATATCTGGAAGTAACAAAAAGGTTTAATCTTGATAGTGTTTTTGACCTTCAATGTGGTAAATTTAATTAATTTCAGGCTGCTTATTCCCAAGTCTTAGTACCTGCACCAGCTCCTCCTAAGCTTCCAATAGTTAAGGCACCGGCTCCACCACCCCTGGTCAAGGCGCCAGCTCCCCCTGTTCCAGTGATCAAACCACCCAGTCCACCACCTGTTCCAGTGATCAGGCCACCCAGTCCATCACCAGTTCCAGTGATCAAGCCGCCCACTCCACCACCAGCTCCAGTTCTCAAGCCACCCACTCCACCCACTCCTGTCAGTCCTCTGCCCCCAGTGAAGCCACCCACTTACCCACCACTGCCCCCAGTTAAATCCAAAGAGGGTAAATATTTTCTCACCACCGTACCATAGAGAAGTGAATTTTTCATGCCTTTTGATGCAGTAAAAAAATGCTAATCTTGATTAATTTTTCATGTTGTTTCTGCTAACTACTTAATTTGGTTTTTGTGTGAATAATTTTGTGATGGGGCAGATTGCATCCCTTTGTGTGACAAGAGGTGCCAATTGCACTCAAGGAAGAGAGTCTGCATGAGAGCTTGCATGACATGCTGTGACCGCTGCAGATGCGTTCCTCCTGGAACTTTTGGCAACCGGGAAAGATGCGGCAAGTGCTACACTGATATGGTCACCCATGGAAACAGAAGCAAGTGCCCTTGAACACAAATCACAACTTTCTCTCGCTCTGTGTTTTTGAATTTTAAGGCCGGCCATGTTTGCTTAAGACTGTATGAGAGAGGAGAAGCGAGAAAATAATTGTTTTCAAGTGCCTTTTCTAGTTTCTTTCTACTGCTTTCTACTGCTTCCTGCATCTATTGAATGGGCAATTACTACTTACTAGTATGTATAATGTATGGCCTCGGCTCTTTGATTCAAATTTTCAATGTCATGTAGTAGATGTTAATTAATATATATATTATTGTACTTTTTAGCACTTGGTGGGTACAACATTTATAGTGCCTGCTTTCTTTTACAGCTAGAAGAAGCATTATGGTTGACATTTTCAAATTCTAGACCCGGAAAAATTTCGTACAAATAATCTTTGTTTTGCGAGAACAAAAGACTTTTATGCAACGGGTATAGCATTATTTTGATATTCCCAACCAATCAACCTATGTTCTTCCTTCATATGCGATTCCCCTGAACTTTTGTTCTCCAATTTTCCCTCATATGTGAATGTGATGTGTAAATATTCTCCTCGATGCTCAGTCTTGATGAAATCCCACGGGGTTTTCCTTGTAATTTGGTCATTGGCTTCCTAAAAAAACAATCATAAATGCCAAAGTGAGGAGAATCCAAGGGCTTGAAGATGTGGGCCTCAAAGCATAGCCTAGTAGCATTGCGACCTAATAATATTAATAGGTGGGCCCTAATATTTCCTTCATGCAGGGTGGGCCCCAACTTTTCCTTCATGCACGATGGGCCTTTTCGCCTGTGTTAATAGCCAAGCACCCACCAAAACAAAAATGGATGGATCTTTCTTTGTAGGTCCATATATTTTCTTTTTCTTTTTATAATAACTTTAACGGCATTTTATTTGAATTAATTTTGACTAAGGTTCTTTGCAAGGCATGTGTTCCCACATGCATGTATAAGATTATGAGGAACAGCACCAGTGGTATGCTTAGGGAAATAGTGGTATTCTAAGCGTGTAAAAATTTCTCTCTCCGCCCTTTTTATCACTATTTATACCCCCATCCTAGTTCTCCTACAAACATCATCTGCCTTCCTATAGTTCTTCGACTTTTCTACTACATTAATTCCTCTTGGTATTCCACCTGCTGCTTACAATCAATGGCTCTCAAGGCGTTCCTCCTCCTCTTCGTCACCATTCTCCTAGTTACTACAATGGTAATTAGTTCATTATATACTGATAATTTGATTCTTCATCGCCCTAGTAAATAGACGAGAAAATAAAATTTGTTTCTTCGTCCTTACGGAAATAAATCTACATATTTACCTGTGCTCTTGTTTGAACAAGATTCTTGTTTTTGTAGGTTTCGTCTCAGGACAATCCTGAAGAGGAACTCAAGGCAAAGAGTAGAGTAAGTACATTGATTTATACACTTATTTAGTATCAGGACAGTGCTAACTGTTTAATTATTATACAACTTTGTACATTAATAGAAATTATTGAGGGAAAGTTCAACATTTAATCCCTTTTCAGCCAACGAAGCCAAAAGCCAAGACACCATCAAAAGGCAGGTCACCACTATACCCAAAATATGGCAGGGGAGGCAAGACCAACCCATTCCCCAAGTCGCAGCCTTCACCGGCACTGGACGAGCCTTATCCTCCATTTGACGAGATTCCAGGCGATGAGCTAACTCCACCACCTCCAGTAGCTAATAAGCTAAATAAATCAGTCTCGTCGATTGAGAATTGACCAATGAATGTTAGCCAGAACTGAGTATAAGTATATATGAGAAAGACAATAAAGTATATGTACTAAGACTCTTATTATAATTCAATAATATCCATCTATTTAATTGCTCAATGTCATGTACCGGATGATTTCTATATTTCAAAAATAATATGTTAGTATTTAATGTACGCATATATATCTTATTTCTTTTTTGAGATGGACGATTTCATTGAAAAACAGAAACAACATTACATATTGTCTTCGAGCATGGCATCAATATCAACGAGAATATCAAGGAGAGTCCCGATATCAAGACGAGACACTTCATAAAAAGATAAAGCAAAACTGTAGTAGATAATGTCCAAACCCTTCAGGCACACGCTCCTAAAAACTATACCCAAAATCTAGTTTTGAGTTCAGAGCTGCCAATTTATCCGCAAGGCAATTTCCTCCTCTATATTTATGAGAAATACTGCAATCTTTGGACCTAAGCATCTTCTGGCAGCTAGTCACCAAAATGTGATATGGATGCTCTTCCTCCAACTCTTAAGAAAGCATTTGCACAACAATCTGAGAATTAGATTCAATATCAAATGGGAACCATTCCTTGTGGCACGCGAAAGCAATTCCAAATTAAGAAGATGGCATTTTCGCTGCACCAATTCAGCCAAGTCGAAAAGGCCCCCAATTTTTTGGACTACATCCATTACTTAATTTCTTAAAAATTCTATATTACAAAAGCGTCCTTCAACTTCAAACACTCAAGTAAAAAATCCGTAAAAAAATGTACGTATTCCTTCGGCAACCCAAAATCAATGGGCAACAGAATGAGTGACCCAATTCAATTCCTTATGAAACCATTGTAAAATTTCTTAACTTTTTTTATGTAGGTACGTAATTCTTCACATGCTCACATTAGATGGCATGTGATACCACATATGGAGTGCTTATGAATTGGAACCACAACACAATTAGCTTCCTCTTGCTCATCAATTAGATATGTAGTGTTCGTTGTTATAAGTAGATTGTTGGATCCTGTCACTACTGGCACTGCAAAATTGAAATAATCGCATTACTTAAGAAGAGAACATCTCATAATTTGAATATTGATTAGATATGTAGTGTTCGTTGTTAATTAGATTGGTGGATATCCTTTCACCAATGCCATTTGCACTTCAAATTGAAATAATCGCATTACTTAATTTATAAGAAGTTCGTATCTCATAATTTGATTATCGATTAACAATTTTAACTTCAAAAGACTTGTAACTCAAGCATATGTAATGTAAGATCATTTACCCAAAGTCTTTGTATACTTGATTTTTCTTCTTTCCAATATTGTATATATTAACTCCGTTTAGTTTGGTCCATGCGTGACTGCCTTTTTAGTTTGAGTCGAACAGTTCATGTGGAGGGGTCTGAACGATCAGAGTAACAAGTGAAGTATAGGAGCCACTCAGCCATATATTGACCCACAACCCCAAATTGTTTTTATATACTGTTAATACAAATGAGGCTAGCAAACCTAGGAACCTCAAATACACCCGGCTGAAGGAGGAAATGTAGCTAAGTTTGGCTCCAAGAGTTTTTCCATCGCGTGATCATTCGAAGGATGTTCATTTATTGGTTACAGTACATACTGTGATGGGAATAGAGATGATAGTCGAATGCATGGCCACGGTCGTCCTTGGGGAAGGAGGGTCGAACTCAGAAGTCAGATGTTGGACAGCAAGCCATGACTTTTAGTTATGCTTATGTCTCTTGTTCTGATGAATCAGCTTGCAAAAATTTCTCTCTCCATTACCCTTCGGCATGCATGCACCGTGCACCTACGCTACATATATGTTTATATATATACTACTTGTTCTGCTAGCTAGAATGTTCATCTCACTTCCTTAGCTAATATATCTACAATGGCTTTCAAAGCTATGCTCCTGCTTGCTACCATTCTCTTAGTTACTGTAAGGATATAGAGTCTATGCCTCATATACATTGATTTTTTATAAGTGTTGTCTACAGTTAGGTGTGTTTAAATTCCTGATATCGATCCTGTCTTTGTAGGTTTCCGCAGATGAACATCCAGAGAAAAACGCAAAGTTTTGGGGGGTATGATCCTTCTTTCCAATATTGTATATTAACTTGATATCACTTTGCACATCCTTCAACTATAGCTAGTGACTAAAATTTGAAAGCAGTACTGTTATCCTCTCTGGTATTATTGAGATTGATGTTTTATACATGACACGATACATATAGATACAGCTATTTCCTTGGGTTGGGATCATATTTGTTCTCTAGTGCTAATTTCCACGGATTTGATATGCTCAATTATATATTGAACTCATGATCTATACAGCTATTTCCTTGGATGGATTGGGATGATGAACCACTATTCAATGACCCAATCCCAATTACGCCACGATCTCCACCACCGCCACTGCCACCACCGCCACCACCGCCACCCAAAGCACCGGCTCCAGTACCACCTCCAGCGAAAGCACCTGCACCAGCTCCTGTGTCCCCAGTTAGGTCCATTCAAATTGAATAAATCTACTGAGTTATCTAATGCATGGCACCAAATTACAGCTAGCTCAACACTTAGGAGTAGCTAATTGAACTCAAGAAGAGTTCATTAGTCTCATTCATTTAATTGTAGATACAATTATTTTTACCTTTAATTTTTGAATTATTGATAATGCATGCATGCTTGTGCAGCCACCTTCGACTCCGACTCGGAAAAAGGACGGCGATGATTCCTCTTTCCCAGGAGGCGTTATTCCACCGTTCGTTCCAGTTACACCGGTCTTCCCAATTGTACCGCCTGTTCCAATATCGGGCGGTGGAACCCAGAGTCCGAGCACAACTGGTCCCCCTCCCAACACCAAACCGTCACCCCCACCCGACACCAAAACCCCAAACAACTCCCGTCAATGCACGTGCGCTCCTCCAGTTCCAGTAGTGAAGAACCCTAACCCTAATCCTCAGATCAAGGCCCCGCCTGCTCCACCCTCTCCCATCACGTCCCCATCCACTCCACCATCTCCTCCGCTGAAGGCCTCGTCTCCACCTCCACCATCACCACTTCCCAAAAGAGCACCGCCGCCGCCTTCACCTCCGAAGAAGAAGGCATCGCCTCCACCACCACCGTCGGACGAGGAGGAGGGCGCACCGGAGGAGGCACCAGCTCCCTCGCCAACACCTCTGACGAAAGCACCAGCTCCAATACCTCTATTGAAAGCACCAGCGCCAATACCTCTAGCGAAAGCACCGCTGCCGCCTCCACCTCCGAAGATTAAGGCGGCACCAGCTTCCTCCTCAAAACCTCGTCCGAAAGCACCGCCTTCGAAACCTCTGGTGGACGCACCTGCTCCGAAACCTAATCTGGTACCCAAAGCACCCGCTCCGAGGGCTAATCGGGTGCCCAAAGTACCAGCTGCACAACCTCCACAAAAAGGACCGGCTCGGAGACCTAATGGGGGACGGAGAGCACCTGCTCCAAAACCGGATCGGGTGCGAAAAGCACCCGCTCCAGAACCGCTCGTGAATGAACCTGCTCCGATACTGCTACGCTGACATGTTCTTGAAATTTTGAAATCAAGGTTTTTCGTATTTTTCCCTCGCGTGAGTTAATGTCACGTGAGCTGAACAAGTATGAGAGAGGCAAAAAAGAAAATAACAAAAATAAAAGGCTTTTCTCTCGTTGTTAATTTTGTAATCCATCGTATCCTCCTATCCATGCATATCATAAAATAAAATGGGCAATTCAATTGACCCTTTTGAGTATCCAGTGATTTGGTGCTTCGTTTTAATATGGCGCCCAAGGATGTGCACGATTTAAAGTTGAGAAAGGATATGCATTTTGATTTGGATCCTCTCTCTTAACCTCATATGCAAAATATTGTTCAGCATCCTTAATTTTTAGGAAAGGAAAATCAGTATGAGAAACTTTTTTTTGGACGAGTAGATTGCTTTTAATTATCAGCGTTTAAAAAAAGAAAAACAATCTTACAACAGATGGAAACTCGAAAGAAAACACACTACAAGGGGAGGGGTGGTTTGTAAGTCAAAATACTTTTCTACTAGACCAGACCCGTTAGGAATATTATTTTATTTTTAATATTTATATAAAGTTAATTTCATAAAAATTGAAATCCACTACTACTTCTATATAAAATTAAATAATAGTTGAACATTAAAAATTGAACCAATTTTGGGATGCGAGAGGAATACACATATATAAAATCGATTATATGTGCAAATTCCACCGCCACAAATTTGATACGAGTAATTGATTTGCATTTTGTATGTAAATCAATTTTTCATTAAAAATACAAATCAAATTTTCAATTTGACACGAGTAAATTGATTCTTTAATATCTTTTATACACATGCCAAGAACATATCGTAAACTCATTACAAATATAAGCAGCCTCACATAAATTATTCATTAGAAAATAATACAATCTCGTAACACGAACTAAAAAATGCGATATTTGTATTAGATATAAGTTATTACCAACCCAGGGAAGTCAGATAGGCAAGCAATGAACCACGAAATTCATGAAAATTCAGCTTTTGGGTTACAAGTTTGGTGAGGCAGGCCTCGTGTGAAGGACATCATCAAACGGATTTGTAACACATACTCTAATGGCAAATGGATCTAAGAGTTTAGTTTGGTGCATGGGCACCGTCCTTGGAGAACTCTCAAGTCAGATTTTGGTCAGCAAGCCATTACTAATGTCTCAGTGATCGGATGAAGCTGTCACATGACACTTCGAAAATCTATCTCTCTCCACCTAATTTCAACACTATTTATATACCATGTTCTTGTATCTAGCTAAATATATATGTACAAAATGGATTTCAAAGCTATGCTTCTTCTGTTTGCCTCTGTTCTCTTAGTTTCTACAGAGGTAATTAATTATAAATTTTCATTTTTATCTTTAATTCATCTTTATTATTTTTCCACACAAGTTTTGAATTGGTTCATCTGTCTAGGTCTCATCTAATCATGGTCCTCATGATCAGGAACTCAACATGAAGGTATTACATGTCTTTAATTATATCAACAACCATGCATATATATTGAGTGTTAATTTTCTACAGTTTATTACTGTTCTATTGGATATCGGTTCATCAGGATCGGAGTGAACGCCACAGTTTATTTAGTGTGTGGATATATCCAAGGATACCTAAATGGAATCCAGTATTCAGGGCACCACCATCGCTGCCTCCGATGAATGAAGCGGCTCCTACCGGGGTACCCGTGGCCATGCCACTCACTACTAGTAATGCAGCAGCAGCAGCACCACCATTGTCTACTCCCCAAGTTAAGACCAACGGGGGTAAGGACGTGTCCAATTTCATGAAAAGATTAAATAGAAACGTGCTTTTGGGTTAATAACGTTAATTACTATGTGTGTTTTGCTGATTCAATTAATTTAATTTTGTGGGTATGGAGATTGCGTCCCGTTGTGTGACAAGAGGTGCAAAATAGAAACAAATAAGAAGATCTGCAGGAGATCATGCATAGCATGCTGTGACCGCTGCAAATGTGTTCCTCCGGGAGATTATGGCAGCAACCTGGACAAGTGTGGCAAATGCTACACCGATATGAACTACCACGGACAAAAGTGCCCTTGATTAATTAATCCTCAAATCAACTAATTAATTAAGCATCTATCCATCCATCCATCCATCCCACTAATTACGCACGAGATCGATGTAATTAATAAGTACTGTGAGACTTGATTCACAGATGCCACAAAATAAATGGGTTATGTATTACTTAATTTCAATGTCAGTGGCTTATATAATTAGTTAATCAAAGTCAATTCATGAAAATTGAAGTCTATATATTGCTATTTCTAAATAAGATAATAAAGTTTTTATAATTATTTATATAGATTATTATAAATAAACTCAATCCTATGCATGTATTTATAAAAAAACCCACACACTATTTAAACATAGAAACACACCCAAAATCAACCCCAAAATCAACAATTGTATATTTTTTGGGTGTGTTTATAAATGGGTTTTGAGTGTGTGTAATGATGAGTTTTGGGTGTGTTTCTATGTTTAAATAGTATGTGGGTTTTTTTATAAATACATGCCTAGGATTTGGTGTTTTAGTGAAACCCCCTTATTTATATGGATTTGATGGAACCCTTCCCCAATGGGAAAGTAGATTGATTGATGCTGTTATTAGTTCAAGCAGAAATATTGAACGCAAAAAAACAAGGTGGCTATTCGTGATGAGCATTCTTTGTAATTGTCACCTGCAGTCCAGCAAATCACATTGCTACAACTCATTCCCATCTGATCTGCTTTTGCTAATAATAATATCTGGACCCAAAAGAACAAAACTCGAAACATAGAAACTGGCTTCAGTGAAATTGGCCAGTAATTACGTACAGAAGAGGACACAGAGAAAAAGCTAGCTTGGCTAGGGAATTTGGCTTTATAAATAGGTGAGAACCAACACAAGGAATTGCAAACCAGTCAATTGTTTACTTGGACAAGATCATAAATCATCACTTATATATTTATAGAAATGGCTTTCCAGAACCAAAAGGTTGCAGCTGTCGTGGTGATTTGGGTTGCAATTGCTAGCTTGATGCTGGCTGTTTCGGCAGCAGTTGGCAGTCCTGAAGCTGCTCCTAGCCCATCTGCAGCACCAACTCATGTCATCGCATCAGTTCCGTCGATTCTGATTGGTGTTTTGGGCTTCATTATGTATCTCTTTTAATTTGTCCCAAGCTTATATGCTTCATGAAAGATTATCATGTTCGTGTTGCTGTTGTTGTTGTTGGCTCTTCTGATCGATGTGTAACAGTATTTGAATGTTAGAAATTCCATATATACGGGTTTCCCATATATTGTTGTACTATTCTATAGTAAATAAAGGTTGAATTAATTATATGTTATACCCATCGGTTTTTGTTTTATTTATTCATACAAGCGATATTGAGAAAGAGAGATTTGGATATATGACCTCGAGTGTGTATGCATATGGAAAACTCATTTTAACTACTTGAGTTACAAGCCTCTTATATTGTACTCATAAGTTTGGAGACAAGTAGCATTAATCTTATTTTTCTTTCTTACTAAATTTAGCTAAAATAACCTTTAAAATCATGAAAATTTTTCTTATCTTTTGTTGTTATCGTCCAAATACGAAATTTTTGACAAAAAATAGAGAAGATTTGGTGTGCAACAGAGGAAGAGGAAGCCAAAATGCTTGCCGAAGAAAAGAAAAACAACGGCAGAGGAGAAAAAGGAGCCACTTTCTCTCCATAAATGTAGGGAGCAAAAAGTTTGTTAGCCAAATTAGGGAGTTGTTCAGGTTCATCTACCAGATTTTCCTCCAAAACTTCCTATTTTGACTAATTAAGAAGTCGATATTACAATAAAATCACATATTCATCTGGGCCTCGCTCCTATATGTAACTGGGCCCAGAATCGAGGCCCAATGGACAAATAGGCCGAAATTCATTCTGGAGAAGACTAAGAAAAATACAGAGAAGAGTAAGAGGGAAGCGTTGAACGACGTTTGTGAGGATCGGAGGGAAAGCGGCAAAGTGAAAAGAAGAGAAGCGAGAGATGGGTGGTGGAGAGAGAGAGGTAGGAGAAGGAAGCAACGTAAAAGCAAACGCGAAGAGAAGAAGAAGGATATGGCTGAAGAGGAAAGAGAAATGGCTTGTAGTACTTGGCGTTGTTCTGCACGCCGTTTATATGCTCAGCATTTTCGACATCTACTTCAAGTCCCCCATTGTTCATGGCATGGATCTCGTTACCCCTCGTTTCAAAGCCCCTGCAAAACGCCTCGTTTTACTCGTCGGTACGCCCATTTTCCTTCTCAACTTTACTCTGTTTCTTGTTTGAGTTTGCTTTAAAGCTTTTGAGCTTGTGCTGCAGCTGATGGTCTGCGAGCTGACAAATTCTTTGAGTCCGATTCTGAAGGAAAGTTCAGAGCTCCATTTTTAAGAAGCGTGATCAAAGAGAAGGGTCGGTGGGGAGTTTCACATGCTCGTCCCCCCACTGAGTCAAGGCCTGGACATGTTTCTATAATTGCTGGGTTCTATGAAGATCCCAGTGCTGTTACGAAAGGTTGATTCTTTTTTCTTTTTCCTTTTCTTTTTCGCATTGATACAGACGAATGGCTTGACTGAAGATACCCAATTCGTTTCGCAGGCTGGAAAGCTAATCCTGTTGAATTTGATTCGGTATTTAACCGAAGCCGGCATACTTTCTCTTATGGTAGTCCTGACATAGTTCCAATCTTCTGTGCTGGCTTGCCTCACACCACCTGGAACAGTTACCCTCATGACTTTGAAGACTTCGCTACTGGTATCTCTGTTCTTTTGTTTTTACTTCTCAATTTGCAATTTCTACTATTAAAGTTTACATATTTAGTGATTTTTTTTTCCTTCAACGCTAATGGTTTAAACAAATTTAGGCGTGATAATGCTTTGGGTACAAAGATACTACTGCTGTACACTCTGTTCTGTGGTTCTCACTTTCAGCTAATGCTTTACCAATTTGTATGTGTTAATGCAGATGCTTCCTTT